ACTTGAAATTCAGCAGGTAGGTAGGTCTGTTGCTGTTGGTTCGTTTTCTGTGGAAACACTAGATAAAGTGAGACCTCGTTTGGTAAAGGACTAAAATGTTTTTCTCTTCCTCCAGGATACCAGAGGACTGGGCTAATGTTGGCCGGCTCGAGCCCACAGAGGAACTGGAGCTGACGTTTGCCTTGAAGCAGCAGAACATTAACCTGCTGGAGAAAACACTCGGACTAGTGTCAGACCCTGACTCGGCGCGCTATGGTAGGGTGCTGCCTGATTACTGCCAGCATCCTAAAAATCTACACCTGCTAAGCTAAGATGCTCAGTAGGGTTTGTGTATTTACTTATTTCTATTTCGGTTCTTCATAATGTGTTGTAAATCACACTAATTTGAAAGGAACTGTACTGACTTGACAGTTTACCTGATAAGACAAAAGGCTTCTCTCAACTTTCACCTCTTTATCTATGACAGACAGGCTTGTTTTGTCCTCCACAGGTGATTACCTTAGCCTGGACGAAGTGTCCTCCCTTGTGCGTCCATCTAAACTGACCCAGAAGGTGGTGCATCGCTGGTTGCAGAGTCATGGGATTAAAAACTGCCTGTCTGTTCATACTCAGGATTTTTTACAGTGCACCATGACTGCAAAGTAAGCTGTTTTGTTTGTTTACTGAACAGTAAGTTTTACTGGCACCTGACACAGAAAACGGGTGTTTTCTGCTGCTGTTCTCTTTGTACATGAATGTTGCAGGGGCCATGAGGCAGTTCCTCTTTCTGTGGTTATTGGTTGAAATCTAACTTCACGCTGTAGAGTTGTGAAATTCATAAATCTAGACTAATGTTATTGGACTAAAAAAAAACAACAAAAAACAAAGAAAAGCCTCACCCCAAACAGCTACTGTTGTTAATGTTCATGATGTGGGAATGGCTTAGTAGATGCGTTGATGAAGGCAACGGCTTTTGGCTTCATCCTAGACATTTGGGCTGTTATTGTTTTTGTGTGGATTGTGAATTTCAGGGTTGCAGAGACCCTACTTCCAGGAAGCAGGTTCCACCGTTATGTCAGAGAAGGCCGGTCTCTAGTGAGGTCATCAGCTCCATACTCAGTGCCTGATGATGTTCACCAGCACCTAGACTTTGGTGAGCATAATTACTTAAGCTGTAAAATGTTTGACCTTTATTTGTTGTATATTTAGGTTAGGATTTGAACTAACATTGCTGGATGGATTACTATATTTTTCAGTTGGAGGGCTTCATCGCCTTCCACCAGAAGGGAAAGACCTCGGTAAGAAGCAAAAGCAATCGAAGGCAGGGTTTCACCTCGGAGTGTATCCATATATCTTGAGGGCCCGCTATAACCTCACATCAACTGATGTGGGAAGAGCTCAGAACAACAGCCAGGCTGTAGCTCAGGTATCGTCCGCTCACGTAATGAAATGCTGAGTGTCGCTTTTAGACTTGTAAATACATCAACTCGGAGGCTATAATTTCACCATAACTTGGTGTACTTTTTCACTCCACCTAGCTGTCTTTTCTTTCAGTTCTTGGAGCAGTATTACCACCCTGCTGACTTGGCTGAGTTCATGGGCATATTTGGCAGGACCTTCCCCCATCAGTTTGAGGTGGATCGAGTGGTAGGCCACCAGGAAAGAGGAAAGGCCGGCCTTGAGGCCAGTCTGGATATAGAGTACATCATGAGCACGGGGGCAAACATCTCTACATGGGTCTTCACCAATCCAGGTGTGTAGAGAAGAAGGAAGTTTTAGCTGTGTGTGCATGGATGTGTGATATGTTGTCCCATCTTTCTGTTTTTACCCATGCTAATTGTAGTGTTGGACATTCAGCTGCTTGATCCACCACTTTGGTCCAGGTTGAAATCATTTTTGAATTGATTCTGGTAAACTTTTGAGACCTCATGGTCCGCAGGGGATAAATTCTACCAACTTTGCTCTTCTGAGTTTTCCTGTAGTGCCACCATGATGATGATGATTTTTGTTTTGAGTGTCATGTCACTTCTAATTTAAATACTTGAAAACAAACAGCAGTCCTATCAGCTGTAGTTGTTCAGTGTTTTTACATAGTGTTTGAATGTAATGAAGTTACATTTGTAAGAATGTAAGAACTTATATTTGCAAATGT